CATATCTGAGAGCGTGTTTAGTTAAATGACTGGTTTTCCTAGCTGGAATATAATTACAGGTATGTATGTTTAGTTCCTTTTAACAAGTGGGTTACTGTATATTAACCTTCAAAATATAACTTAATACATTGTGGAAGAGACTCGCTTGATTGCTTTATAATACAAGTTGGAAGTAACAGAAATTTCAAGTTACAAATTTCTGGTTCCGGTGTGAAGGGCCGTAAGAAAGATCTGCCGTTGTTGAAAAGTCGTCGAACTTCACCGCTACGGAGCTGTCCTGGTTGGTGGCGCTGCTGAAGTCGTAAAGTACCCTGTCATACTACTGGCGTGTACAAATTGTCTGTTTTAATATTTTCCAAACACTGGTGGTTTATGCTTTAAAACCCTTGAGGATGATGTTTGAAGCTGTAACCCTTGAGGATGATGGCCCATTGAGGATGATCCTATAAGCTATCGCCTAGGGTACCAAACATTGATAACGCTAGACGGTATTGATACGAATGATAGACGCAAGTGACGACGGTGGTACTCGGAAGTGGTATGTGGAGTTGGAATGTGGTGGTGGTGAGGGAGCGAGACAGGCCTGGGGTGGTGCAACTTCCCAGCCGGCCGGAGGAATGGTTGATGGTCACTGGGTCATTGGCTTTACCCTGTGGTGTGCCAGGGAGGAACGCCGAGCTGCGCACCTCCTCCTCCCTGCATAATGGCATTAGAACATATCTGCGTGGATATCAGACAGCGGGGTTGAGTGAGCGTAGTTGATGGTATAGGGTGATGGTGGTGGTGTGTGTTGTGGGCGGCCACATCCGGGGGGAACGTTCTCTCTCCTGTGCTCACTTACATATGGATGTACACACGTTCACTCACACCACACAATACCACATCACACCATACCACACTATACCACATCACGCCAATATACCGAATGCTAGATGGTTGCCACGGTGTTTACAATTTCACGTTTTACGTGTATACTCCAGTGTACAGTAATATGTTCGTCGACTGGACTTGTGGTACACCGAGTACACTTTCAGTTTCGTGTGTTTACTCCCACGTAATGTCCTGTACTGTGGGCCAAGCTGATGGTACACGGGGTACACTCTTAGATTTTTACTCCAGTACACGTGCAGTTCTAAGTCCTGTGCCTTACCATCTCAGTAGGATAGTGTGTTGTCTGTGGCTGTATTAGTGTTGTAAGGTAGTGTAGATTTATCGGTGGGTGTAAGACGGTGTAGAGGGTTTAAAGTGTACAGTTGAGGGTGTATGAGTGGGGGGGGGGAGGTGAGGCTGGCTAGTGGAGGGATATATAGCTCGTGATGGCACCGGTGTAGACCTGTCCCTCGCGGGGCCGTATTTGGCACATGTGGTCGTGTTTCGCCTCTTAAACATAATCTCTCGTCTCCATCTCTTCCGTCCTTCCCGCTGAATGCTCACGCCCACTAATCTCCCCCAAGCTGTCCCTTCACCGCCTTGACGCCCACACCTCACCCAACGTGATTTACACTGGCTGGCATCCTCCTCACCTTGTCACTCGTGCTCTAACAAATGTACGGTCAAGGCAGTCACGCCCCGAGTATTTCCCCCGCAAGAGGTTCGTTGTACTTCTCCTGGTAATACTGTACAGCATGGTAGTTCAAGGCCTGGTCCTGTCCTGTGAACTGTTTCCTCTTTTCTACGAAATTTTGCTCGACGAAGAAGAAGTGGGGAGCTGTTTAAAGATTTAGTGTGTGCGTGTGTCAAGGTGGGCACGAGGTAATGAAATACTTCGTTTCTGAGTTGTTATTGATAGAGCGTTACAGTTTTAAAGTCGCGTGTCTCGGATATATGACACTAGATTTTCTTCAATGGTTGTATTTAATAAAGTAGTCTATTAAAACTTGTATCTGTCAGTGGAAGTGGCAGGCTCTGCTGAGCCGTTACAATAAATATTTAATTCATAAGACATAAGTGGTGAAGGCGCACGCTTTCCTCACTGCATGATGTAATATATTATCTAACCTTGGTCTTATTTGACCCTCTGGAGCATCACTGCACGATTCACTTGTGAGCGTTTAAAGGTTATTTGTTATTTGTTTCAGTATTGACCATCGATGTTTTTCACCTATCATGGTTTTTGTGGGAAGTGACTGAGACATTGTTCACACGGGTGAGTGATTGTGTTAAAGGGGGGGTTGGGTGTTGATGCCTTGCCGTGATGTCTGCTTACTCCAGGGAATAGTTGGGAGGGGGAGTGTTAACTCGCTACCCGGCCTACAGTTCATATTTACCCAATCCAGGTTATTAAGAGTAAAATGACTAATAAAGATGTCAGAATATGTGACAGCTCAAGTTCCGCTATACAGTGTGTGTTATAAACTGGTCACGGCAATAGAAAGCAGGATATGAATGGCCACCGTGACAGGTAATTAATTTTGATACTGTTACTTGAGGGTTTTAGGCACTTGTGTCCGTCTGAACATAATGTGTGTGCAAGTATTGGAAGGCTTGTTGATAGCTTGTGGTACTTTCTTGAGAGACGAGTGGGAGGTGTTGCCTTGTGTTAGGGAGAAGGATTGTGTGTGTGTGTGTGTGTGTGTGTGTGTGTGTGTGTGAGAAGAGGATGACTGGTGGTGGTGGTAGCTGGGAGAGGGTTATTCTAAGGTCATCACACCTCAGTTACGGCACCTTCCCCCTCCTCTCTCCCCCTGTACCGACATGAACCCCTACCACAGACTCCCCACCTTTTCCTTTCCTCCCCTCGTCTCCCCACCACTCTCCGTGTGTGCGCTTGCGCTTTGATATCCCCAGTTGACATTTAAACTATTGCGAGTAATCTCCAAATTTTCCTCGTCTTCCTCTTGGATTTTTACATCACTATTTTGTCAACCTTTCCTTTGTCTTCTTTTATGATTACAGCCTCTCTTCTCTTCGCGTGTCTTCTTCATCAGTATGTTTTCGTGTCTCCTCTCTCATGGTTCTCGTTGCCTTCCCTCAAAATATCTTTCCTGTCGTGAAATATTATCCATCCAGTATCTCTGTATTTATGTGGCATTTCCTTCAGTCTCATCTGTGTTACGTTCTTGTTGTCAGACGATTGGAGTGTGATGGTTACATTCTTATCCTGACACTTGTTTGTCTTCCGTTCCATTATCACGGAAGATATATATATATATATATATATATATATATATATATATATATATATATATATATATATATATATATATATATATATATATATATATATATATATATATATATATATAAAGCCATTGTCGCCTTCTCCGTGTTGCATCATACGGTCGCCTTTTATGAGTACTGTTTACCGACTGCTCGCTAATGGAACACCTCGCAACTCCCGTCGTCCTGGAGCCAACTGTGAGGTGGGGGGGGCCCCCATGCCTCTACCTTACAGTTGTAAAGGTGTGTGTATAGGGGTGGCTGACTTGTCCCCCCCCCTCTCTCTCTTCCAACTGCCCAACACCACTTTACACTGGCCCTTATTTCCATAATTATTCTTCCTTGTTGGTCAAAAAGGCAATTGTCCGGACACGCTGATGACCGGAGGGGTACGGGCGGGATGCTAGGAGATGCTGGTACTAGCCTAATAGCGGTGAGGGTTTGTCTTGGTGCTGGGAGTGGTAGAAGTGTGAATGCGGGTAGATTGTGTAGTTGTGGGCGTGCGTGATGCTGTCTACTGTGTGTGCTCGGGTGATGGAGAGTTGAGCGAACGTTTTTAAAGGGTTAAGTGATAGCGGTAGGGTTAGGGCGATATTACGTGGGCCCTGGCAGTGACCGTAACAGAAGTGAGAGAGAGAGAGAGAGGTCTGGGTGTTAGGCGTCACCAACCTCTTCACCGTCACTCCACACACGGTCCCCTTCCCTTCATACCTACTTAAAATTGATTGGATATAACAAAGGTACGCCAGATTAGGTCATGGTTCTAGCGTAAATCCTTCCTTGTGAATAAGACTGTCGACAACGCCCAAATCTCCCATCGTGGATATCAACATGGGCGTTGAGGCAATAAATCGAGCCGATTCTAATCCATCAAAAGTTGTTGTATAAGGTGAAGGACGCTTGATTTAGTCCGGACTCCTGTGTGTTCACAGACAGTCGGACAGCATCAGCGAAATGCCTTCCTCCTCCCCTCTCCCCGGATTGACCTCTCCTTGGGGGTGGGGAAACTTCAGTTACTGGTGTTTCGTCTTAAGTTCTTCGTTTTTCGAAATCTTCCTTAGTTTTGTGTGATTTTTCTCTCGCTCTGTATTTATGGAGTCTGGGTAGGCTAGGGAGGGGGTTAGTAATTAAGGTTTGGCCATGGCGAGTGGGGCGGGGAAGTGTGTGTGTGTGTGGAGAGAGAGAGAGAGAGAGAGAGAGAGAGAGAGAGAGAGAGAGAGAGAGAGACTCTATTATCCTTTCTTTTCTCCCCTCTCCTTCCATTTAGCGGGTAATGGTCGCCAAATTGGTTGGAGGTGTGGCAAAGTGGGATGGAAGGTGTTTTCTTTCCCTGTAGCCACACCACTTACAGTTACACAGTCTTGTGCTCGTGGTCCTGAAGGGCAAGTGTTGTGGGGTAAGGCTCGACCACCTGGAATGGATAGTGGCGCGACAGAGCTGGAGATGAGACCTGCCCCGACCAGCTACTGTCACTATCACTCAACACTCACACGCCACCCAGTCTACCACTCGCCCATACTCCGTTGTATTTTATATTTTTTTTAAGTACTTTGGATGATTTATTTTAGTGATTTTATCAATATATATATATATATATATATATATATATATATATATATATATATATAGAATGCAATTAGAAAGGTATTGTAGTTGGAAACATAAATAAGCGAGGAAGGTTTGGTCTGGTGGCAGGTAGGGGTGATGTGTGTGGGCTTGTTTTATGTAGTGTGATGGCTACTGGCCACCACTACCTTCCAGCTTGCCATTATATTACAAAGCTGCCCACCCCCCCCCCCCTTAAGGCGTGGGTTTTTATTTAGTTTTGAGAGAGTAGAAAAAATATTTTAGAAATGTGGAATTCTGGAGGTGCACAATTGTCAGGAGAGGTACAAAGCACAAGGTTGTGGCAACATGTAGGGAAGACTTCATACATTTGAGGACAGAAGCTGATGACAATTATGATTTGTTTGTATGTAATCGACTGTAGTGAGTCTGCCGTGTGTTAAGTACATTTTAATAATATGAATATTTTCTTTATTCCAGGGTGCAAGATCAAGGCCCTTCGTGCCAAGACGAACACGTACATCAAGACGCCCGTCAGAGGGGAGGAGCCAGTCTTCGTCGTCACCGGTGAGTTCTGTTGTCACTTTCTTCACCTCCCGCTACGACTCTCTCGGAGGACGGCCGTGGTCTGTCTTCCTCACACACACACACACACACACACACACACACACACACATACATACTACTACTACTACTACTTTTTTTCCGTGGCCTCCAGCCTCCCCCAATAGCCACATCTTCGCCACCATTTTAATACCTTAATATTAAATATCCTAGTACATAAGTAGCTATCCTATCTGTGTTGAATTAGTTAAGCTGCAGATCTATGTGGCATTCAGTGACTGTAGCCTCATAGTCAATATCTGCAGCAGTTGTCAGAATTGGGGCAGAAGCTCTCGTTCCCCTGAGGCAGAGCAAAGCCGACCGAAGGAGAGAGAAAGACAGTCGACATCTCATCCAGGCTGTAACATAACTTCTGGGCTGCTGCTTCTGTTCGGAGATCACCTCCGCAAGTAGGGCGTAGAAACATCTTGCACTTGGTCCCATCCCACCAGAGGTTGTGAACACTAGAGGAGTGAAGCTGCCTTGATCAACGGTTTGAATTCTCTCCCCATATGCCCTTCTCTTGTCGTTCTCGTTCCTCCTATGTGCAGCATCGAGAGCTAGGTTACGGTGACATGCGGCCATGGGATAAAAAATCCTACTACTACTACTTTGCTGTCACTCGGAATCGAGTATGACGATCATCCAGCTATGATACGAGTTATTAGGATGTCACCTAGGTTAGTGACTTTTGAGGTGACTAAAAGAGGCCGATACGGGACCCGCAGAGTCGTCCACATTCGTTGCACATGTGGAGGGCTCCATCTTCTGTGGGAGGGGCGGTGGCAGCGTCTTTTCTGCTTTGGCGCTTGTCTGCCTTGGTTTGCAGTCGGGCTAACTCGAAAGTGTTGACACCTTCTCGTGTGGTGCTCCTCCAAGCGTCACGATGCGGAGTAATCGACTCCCAGGTGAGGGGGTCAATTTGGCACCTTTTCAAGTTTGTCTTAAGACTATTCTTATGCCCTTTCAATTGCCCGCCGCCGTTACGTTTACTATTCGTTAGGTGACTGTAAAGTAGCTGCTTTGGCAATCTACTGTCGTCCATGCGGATAACATGGCCAGTCCAACATAGTTGTTCATGGATAATGGTAGCCTCGATGCTCCTACAGTTGGTGTCAGCAAGAATACTGGTATTTGTTCTCTTGTCTTACACACACACACACAATGTACACACACACACATCTGTCCTGTCTGGTGGGTCACGTGTAGGTCAGGGATGCCGTGGGGCGGGCGTGGCTGCCAGTTTTTATGAGTCCGCCCACCCACCGACCCGAGGCACGATTCTTCACTCAGGGGGCCGGGACAGGAAGGTGGTGGGCGGCTTAGGCCTGGATTCCATACCTCGGCCTCACTGTTAATGGGAATATTATGCAGTCAGGAACTCGGCGCGGGGAGGGGGATGATTCTCGTGTATATGGGAGGTTTTGTCGACCTTGGCTATTGTCAATCTGGCGGGGATGGTAAGGCAACATAGTTTTCGTGGGTGCTGGAGAGGTGATGGTGGTGGTGACGAGGTACAGGTGGGTGGTAAGTGAGGGTTTACTACACGGCAGGATCAGGTGGTGGAGGAGGGCGGGGGTGGTTGGATTCGACCCCACATGCTGGGTTGTGGGCCAGCGTGTCAAGGTGTGTCCTGCCCCCGCTCTCCCTCACCCTGCCTGCCTCCACTTTGCACCCTACCTTCCTAACTACTCCACCTCGTGCTTCCCCCCACCCTCACTACCTCCTATAGCCTCATACCTAAACCTTCCTCTCTCTCATTACATCCTTTCTCTTTCATAACAACTAGTAATGCCGCCTCTTCCTTCACCTGTCTCCACCCACTCTTCCTTCCATCCAGTTATTTTAGTGGTCAAACTTGTTTGTTTAGAGTTCAAGTTGGTAAGTAGTGGGGGTGGGGGGGTGTCAGTGATGATGTAGGGATGACTCGAGTGTTAGGTGTCCTGATGACTACAGTACACCACTCTCTTAATTGTTCTCCCGCTTCCTTTCCTTTGTTATACCGATTCCACCGTTATTTCCCTCTTCTGATCTGCTTCTCTCCTTTGCCATCTTCACCATTCCTACAGTTTGCCTTTTTTCCTCCTCCCACTCCCCTTTCTACACCTTCCCTTTGTTCTCATCATCATTTGCCTCCTCCTTTGATGCTTTCCAATGGTTCTTCCCGCTTCTCTCCTGTCCACTCACTCTATTGTTCCTGTCGCATCTTCTCGTGTGTGTGTGTTGATGAGGGAAGACGGGTGCTCTGAAGGGGAGACGGGCGGGGGCGGCGGGGTTTGAAGAGTCGCGCTGGTGATGATATAACCAAGGGCTGGCTGGGGGGTGGTGGTGAACGGAATGGGGGGGGGGCCTTGAGTGAGGACTGCATAGGTGGAGAAATGGTTACTCACTCGCCATGATTATTACTAATAACATTCTCACCATCCTACCTGTGCTTCCTCGCCATCCTACCTGTACTCACTCGCCATCTTACCTGTACTCACTCGCCATCTTACCTGTACTCACTTACCATTCTATCTGTACTATCACCATCCTACCTGTACACAGATTGACCTTATAATGTAATTTGGTCGTGGGAAAACCTTGTCGACACAGACGTTAGATATAAATATTACTCTTGCTTCATCATCCAGGCTTCCACTAAGTTTTGTGTCTGCCACGTTCTTCTGTTCAGCCTTCAGCACTCGGTGTTCTGGCCAGTACTATTCCTGAATTGTGTCCAGATATTTTCATTTTGTTTGATATAAGCGTCCACTGTGCCAAATAGTTAAGATATTCAACGACGTTGAAACCTGAAACAATTGGTCGTTATAAATGGATGTCCCAGAAGTATCTGGTGCGGTGAAACCAATGCAACAGTTTCAGTGACGACTTTGCACGTATTGGGTATCAGCCCAACCGATCAACGGTGTTTTAGACAGTTGTGCACCAAGGTCACCATGACCACGCAGATAAGAATGGTATCCCTGATAAACTCGTCGCGTGAGTAATTTCCCAAGCTGATCTTCTCGTGTGGTTCATGGGTGAGTTATGGTCAAGGAAGGAGGACATAATGATCCAGGCTTTACCTAGGTTAGGGAGGTAGTGGGAGGAGAGGTGTAATATAACAGCCAAGGGGTTTAGTTTAAGTGAAGTGACTAGTCACTCCGGTCAGTGGCTTCATCTGCCTTATGTGGCCAGGTGTTAGGCTCAGTCTCATCATTCCCGGGTTGGTCACCACCTGAATCACGGCATCTGCTAGTAGGTGACCGGTCAGAGAGGAACCGGTGTTAATAGACCCCAACCATAGCGCAACCATCAAGACTTGAACCCTGTGAGGACTGGGACCCACTTGACCAGTCTCCTCCACGAGACAAATAAATGTAAAATAAACAAGCTTGACTGAATTATTGTACCGGCTACCCTGGAACACCTGACGTAAGGTGACTCATTGTTCCTAACTCAGGTATGGTGGTGATGCACTTAATTATAAATGTGTACGGATATGCATGTTAAAGGTATCGTTGGTATGAATATGTTTGTTCATACTTGTGGGTTCATTTGTATAGAAGTGAACAACAGATTTTCACTGAGTAGGAATTGCCCCAAGTTCATTAGGTTATATTATTCCAGTTTATATATTTAATGCGCATGTATAGTTGCTACAAAAAGTATCTGCAATATTTTTAATAGACAAATGACAATGAACAAAGAACTTTGCCAATTCTACCGAGATAGCAGGAGTCGAAATGTTCACTTTGACATCCATCGGACCACACCTTGCAGATACTTTCTGTAGCGTGTGTGATGATTAGGCAGCTAACAGCCTAGGGAGTGGAGGATCCCTCCCTCCTCCAGATTAGATGCTATGTAGTAAAAATGTGTAGCGCTTTTCATCACAAGGAGGGCTACCAGTTGCATCTGTTTTAAGTCGCGTCACCTCCCGCGTCTTACTCCACACAGTAACCGGAATTCTCATGTAAATTATGTTACAAATATGATACACTTTTGCACTAGGATGTTGATATAATGATGTTATTAAGTAACACCTTCTAAAGGGTTGTAGTTTGGTAGTTGGGCATCTTGGTAGTCGTGTATATGTAGAGGGAACCATTTTTATGCAGTATGGGAGAGCAAAGCATAATATGGTAGGTGGAGATGAGCCACAATTTTAAAAAAGTGGTGTAGTTGGTCGAGTATATACGTACAGTACGTGACAATGATACAAAAAGGGAGAGTAGAGTAGTTTATGGGGAGTGTTATATCATGCCAGCTGCACCTGTTTCGTCCTCACGCCCACCTCCCTCACTACGAGACATGATTACACACGAGATGTCACATGTTTTAGTTTGTTTACAGCTCCTGCACTCCGTATTCGTAACTGGAAATGTGAATATGCAATAACTTTTGAGTTAGGTCAAGTGCTGCAGGTTTAAACGTGCTCCATAATTACGATAATGTGGTGTTATCGTTTTTATATTAACTTTTGTTATCCTTAATAACACAAGCTGAAACAAAATTAAATGTTAACATTAGTAACATAGTGTTCAAAGAGGTGGTGTGTGTTAGTGATGACAAACACGAGGCAGTAGCAGTATGAGCGGGTGTCGTGACCATATTAATGTACAAAAATAACATGTGTCTATTGATAACGGGTGAGGGGAGGTTATTCTAGGAGGCACCATCACTACCTCACCCACAAATTCATAAAGTACCTCACCATAGCAACTACCTTAGCTGGTGAGCCAGGCAGCCGACAAAACACTGTGGCAACAAAACACTATAGAGGAGTGTTGGTAGATCACGACCGTGCGCGCCGTCACACACCGTATTTGGTCACCTCACAATATCCTCGCTACCACCACCTCCCCTGGGTCTTCGCCCCTCCCACTTATCCCTCCACATGCCATCACCAGTATCTTCTAACTACTTCTTTCATCTACACTCCACACCATAGTTTTGCATTCTCCAGTCCCAGAGTTTGCTTCTTTTAAGTATCCGCTGAAACACGACTGAATCATGGAGACGTGAACCTTTTCAGGAAAGAGTTTTATAATTGCGGTACTCGTAACAGATGAAGATGTAAAGACGCTGTGCTCCATGACGTGGTAGCACCAATAGTTGACGACAGAAGGTTGCCTTGGTGAGTAGAACAAGTACTTGCTGTATCAATTTGTTATCATGATAACTCCGTTGTGTGGACTGGCAGGTGTGTATGGGAGGGATTAGCAGAGACTGGATATTTTAAAGAACAATAAAACACATAAATGGGAGATGTGCATGGTGGAGCCATGGGGTTAGGTTAGGTAAACTCCAGGTAGGCCACACTGAACAAAAACTTGGGTGAAATGTGGTGATCATAAACAGGATAGTTTTTCTATTGCTTTGTCAAGGTTGGGACTGGGTGTCTTAAACATCTCCTTTGGCATCGTGTTTACATTCCATTTCCAGTCGCATGACTCAGCATTGTTTATTGTACTGAGGAATTGTTTGTCTTTCGTGTAGGTAGAGGAGAATCAGGTGGAATGCGAGTCCTTGTGTTTTGAGGTGAGCCTCGTGCAAACCAACATTCCTGTGTCGTGTCTGAGCGAGGAATCCCAGAACTCGGTATACTATAGTGGGGGTTTTCTTGGTTTCTTCATTTACCATCATTGTTGCTTCTCTATAGCAGCACACACCTGCCGGTAGCGTTCTCACTGCACTATTCAAGAGGCAAGTCTGCCTCGTGCTGGTGTTCCCTCTTCCCACAGTCATATGGCTTCAAGGGTGGTTTTGGGGGAAACTATTTTGATACAACTTAAGATTCATTCGTTTGTATTCAACAATTGTAAAATGACAAGGACTATATAATGTGATTTTTACCCTAGGCAACAAGGACTATATTGATTTAAAGAGAAAGACCAAAGCGAGTAACTTGAAAATGGGATGTTCGTTCTTGTCTTTATTAGCCCCTTTGTAATACGTACAGGAAGAACAAACTAGACCCCTTTTAATTTAGTGATGAATGGTGCTAACATTCGAACCCCGAGATTATTCTGTGTTGCAGACAGGGCATCGTCATTGTGGCTGTAGTGCTACATAGACCTAGACTGGTGGTATGTGTGAAGGAATGTTACTGACCGAACAGTAAGGGGCAGAGGAAGGCTTGTAAGGTAAACAAACACAAACACATCAGTAAAACTTTCTATACCGTTATACCTGTCAAGACTGTTTTTGTTATGAGTGCTCTAAAGGTCTGAGGTGAAGGTTGCTGACCCTGACAAAGAAAATTTCTTTTAAGTTTCAAAAGTTAAGGGTTATTGTGAGCCCCAAGAATAAAAATATTCATATTTCAGTGATGGTGTTCTTCCTGTGGAGATGGCAAAACCCAATAGTGTAGCATCGTGTCCTAGGAGAGCTTCCCAACCATGCCTCAGGACTTGCCCTTGGGGAGCTGGCTCAAGATTGCAATTATTACCTGTAGGCAACTATTAGCTACAGTAATTCCACAATTTGACGTTATTCCCTGCCGGACCAAACTTGTAGCGGTGTGGGCAGAACGGGGCCACCTCGATCTCGTTTGTTGATTAACTCGTGGCTTAATATTGTGTAGCAGTAAAGACAGGCAGCTGCAGTCTTACCGGTCACTTTCGTAGCCAAACACAGTGATACTCATATTCTTAATTGTGAGGCTTTTCTTGTCCACCAACACAATGGAGTGCTAGTGTCTTGTTGGGTATACAAGATGCTTTGGTGATGATTATCAGTCTGTCAATACAGTACTATAACCAGTTAAATTTATATGGATGTTCAATAAATGTTTGGCATTTTGCTCGAGTATTTGGGGCATTTAGAATTTTTCTAAGAGTTGAGTCGAGATGCGTAGTGGCCCCTCCTAATCAGTGATATTGAGGGTTCATCCACATGTACTAGGGTTCAGTTTCCATGTGGAGTTTATCTTTATAGTTCTTCCTCCTGAGGAATATTTTAATTGAGGTTGAGTTACGACACATTTTTCACGATTTTGCATTACGTTTACTAATTCAGGTTTATTGGCGCGCTACAAGTGTGGCTGGATAGAACTGCTAAATTACTGTATTATATATGGATATCTGTGGTATTAATATATGGTTCATCTTCTTGCAGGACGCAAAGAAGATGTGGGGATGGCTAAACGGGAGATCCTGTCAGCTGCGGAGCACTTTAGCCAAATCCGTGCCTGCCGCAAAAACAACCTGAATGGGTCAATGGCTCCCGGCCCACCAACAAATGTACCTGGGCAGGTGACCATCCAAGTACGAGTGCCATACCGCGTGGTAGGTTTGGTGGTGGGTCCCAAGGGAGCAACCATCAAGCGGATCCAGCAGCAAACCCACACCTACATCGTGACGCCCTCAAGGGACAAGGAGCCAGTGTTTGAGGTAACAGGTTTGCCGGAGTCTGTGGAGCAGGCAAGGAAGGAGATCGAGGCACACATTGCGATGCGTACGGGCGGCCTGCTGGACCAGGACGAACCCAACGCTGCAGCTGCTGCACGCCACCATGGGGACTTTCCTCCACCATCACATGGCCTCGACAACCTCTTCAGTCCTGCATCATCAGAGCTGGTCTCATCTCTCTACAAGCTCAACAACTCCTCGCTCAATGGTCTTGCCTCAATCAATGGTATTACCAATGGAACAGGTCTCAATGGTCTCACCAACGGCCTTTCCAATGGGTCAGGTCTAAATGGTATCACCGGCTTGAATGGTCTCAGTGGAAATGGGCTGAACAACTCTCTGAATGGTATGAACGGCTTGAACAACACTCTCAACAGTCTGAACACTTTGAATCAACTCAATGACCTGAACTCTGCTTTCACACTGCTGGGAGATGCTGGGTCGTCACTCCTCGGATCATCCAACAAGGGGGGAAGTGCCCTAGAGTCATCACTCTTCTCCTCCTTCAGCAGTGGTGTTGGGAGCGGCAAGTTGAGCAGTGATGTAACTGGTAGTGGCACTGGTGGCCTGGGTCTGTATGGCGTCGACGAAGGACTAGGCTCCCTGGGATCCTCCATGGGCTCCTCCCCTTCTTTTGACCCAGCTCCCTCCAGCATTTGGGGTGAGCTTGGACGACCTCTGGGGAATACCATGAGTTCCACAGTCAGCTCCAGTTCCTCTCTGAGCTCCACCTTTTCCTCCCTATCCTCCACCCTGTCCTCATCGCTGACACGCAGGTCGTCGTCAGTGTCGGGAGCATCACCCCCATCATCCAGGCTCTCCCCATCCTTGGAGGCTCATCCCCCAGCCAGGCGAATTAGCTCTGATCCAGCACCCGGACTCGGGGGCGCACCATCACTCGCATCGCTCAATTCTGCACTCACGGGAGGCCTAGGCGGATTACCTACTTCCTCACCATCATCCTCTTCCCCAGCTTCCACCCCAGATCTCACCCAGCAGCTGAATGCCTTCCAGTCTACCACTGGGCTGCCGTCGGCACCTGCTACCTCCACCTCCACCACAACCATTACAGGAATAAGCCAGCTGGTGAATGGTATTGATGAGAAGAAGCGGTGTGTGACATGCTGCGAATCAGAGGTGGTGGCTGCTCTGGTGCCCTGTGGCCATAACCTCTTCTGCCTGGACTGCGCCAACAAGCTGGTGGCCGAGGCGGCTGAGTGCCCAATCTGTCGCATGAAGGTCACTCAGGCCATTCGTATCTTCTCCTAACGCGCCACTTGGTTAAGTTTTGCAACTAAGCAACTCGTGCAACAAGCCATCGCGGCGCTCACGGGCATCTCAGCCCCCTTCTACCCCACCACCAGCTTATAGAGTATAATAGTCTGTATAGCATATATCTGCAGAATGAAGAGTATTATCTTTAAAATTAATAATAAATTTTTTTATTCAAGTAGTGTGAAGATATTTTTATTTCATTTTCTCTTGGAATGCAAGGCATTTTTTATTGGTGTGACTCGGGTGACAGTATGGCCCCGGGCTCGGTGTGGTTCATGTCTGGTGGCCAAGCCGTCGGTGCTGGTGGCGCGAGTCCTTCAAGTCAGAGTGGAGAACAGCTGTCGCTAGGCTGTGATAGGCAGGTCAGCGCCGTGCTCGATGCACATGCTGCCCGCCAACAACTGCCAGGGGGGTTACACTCCCTCTCCGATCTCCCATTGTTTCCTGGGTACTCAGGACGGCTCGGGCTGGGCTGGGTGGACTAGGCATCATCGGAGCGGTGCTAGACACTCCCCACCCGCTCACCCAGATCTGAACACTCCGCCCGCACATGTCCGTGCTCGCCCTGTCCAGCCCACCAGCCGCCTCACAACGAATGCTACATATCCTTCTCATCAGCTCTATGTGAGCGTGACAGCCGCCCACCAACCAACCCGCCGCCCGCACGCCGGGCCGCCCACGAGACACTCGGGCGGGGTGCGGGTGGCTAGGTGGCCAGTGGGTAGTTGGGGAAGGCACCAGGACCAGGGAACAACACCTTAATGTCAACAGCAGACAGACATGCTGGGGCCAGTTTGGTACTGCGTCCCAACCACCTGAACGATCGACTCGTGCCTTGATCCCACCTGCTATCCCACCATCTCCTGTCTACCAATTACATCCATCCATGACCTCAACTTCCCACATCCTCACTCTCACATATCCTACATCCTCGCCGCTCCCGCTAATCCCTCATCCTGCAATCATTTCACCTAACGTATGAAACAACCACTTAAAGCCTCAGCAACCTGTCCCCCCTCCAGCCACCTACCCTTAACCATGTCCCCAAGAACCTCCAACTACGCCCACTGAGCCACCGACCACAGAGTTGACCCTGCTTGTGCATTCATGTAATGGAAGCAATACAGTGATATTATCTTAGTCATAGTGCTTTATCTAAGTTCTTGCTCATTATTGATATATAAATGAAAATAAAAACTATGAGAAGATGTGAAAACTTTATTTTGTATAGAGATGAAAAAAAATCAGTATTCTAGACCAATCTTTAATTTCCAATATATTTAATTATCAATGCCTTTTTGTGATAATGTTTGTTTTTGTCTGACTTGAAGGACTCAAGAGCGCCGTGCACGTTTTATAGAACCTCTTTTGTACAAGTGGTGTATATATGAGGTGTGACAGTTGAGAAGGCCATGGGGTGATGGCGGTAAGGTCTGGTAACTAGACAGCCGAGCGAGTAACTACAACTTTTGATCCCAAAATATAACCCCATTGACGCTCCTATCTTCCCCACACCGCCCCCCTCCGTGGCCCTCCCAACTTCTCCAGCCTCGTGGAATAGTATTTGCTAACCCCTGTCCCCCCTCTCCCTTAAACCAGATAGCGATATGGTGTTCAAGTGTGATTGTAAGCAGAAGCGTTAGCGCAGGTTGGCCCAAGACTATACAAGAGGCCTGATGGCCGAATATTGTTGAGGATGGCCGCGAGTCTTGTGTCTCGCCGCCTCTTGTTAGTTTTGCTCTCAACACAAAGATTGGACAAACTTTGTGGTTCCTCTTGGAGAAACAAGAGGGTAAAAGATTTAGTTTTAAGGTAATATATTTTTTTGCCCTAAGAATTATATTTTTTTCTTTTTTCTTTTTAATGAAAGTTTACAGTTGAGTGTTTTAGTTCCTTTATGATATATTTTTTCTACCTATCCTTTATAGAATATGTATGTAATCTAAATGTACCCTTTACTGCATGTACCCTTGCCAAGGGTAAGAGAGATGTTTTGATAAAAGGTAAATCTTGGGCCTCCCTCGCCACGCTTACTGTATAATGTTCCCCTCACGCTGTACCCGTCATAACCCGTGCATTCTCACTCCTTGTGTCGCTCCTACCAAAACAAGAAGTTGATCAAGATTGGAGACGTCAGCCATGAAGACCCCAGTAAGGGCGCACGGAACCATATGTGAAGGTACATAGGTGCAAATATGTCATACTTTTTTATTAGGGAGAGAAGATTTTATTATTAACGATGTATATCTTGCTGCCCTATATAGTTACTACTGCTAATTGATAATCTGCGACAGACATTACTTGGAGCGGGAGAGTAACATTACTGACTAATAGTTTAAAAGTGTTATTATACCCTTTCGATTCTCACCCAAACTGTTTATATTCATTTTATATCAGTGTCTGCTTGGGGTAGTGTGGATCTTTATATGTCACCACAACATCGATTTTGAGTCCTGCGGAAGGTTGCTCTTTGGGTCAATTTTGTCAGCCAGAGCAACTTGATGACAGGAGGCTTAAAGTCGCTGCTGAGAATGTCACATTGAAACTACAGTCGCTGAGATAAAGAGGTAAGGGCTCTCTCGCCCCTCCCTCTACTTTCCCTTGCCCCAGCTGGAGGGCCACCCTCGCCAAGGCACTCTATATAGTTACTCCTACATGACCCACGCAGCTTCTCCAGTACCCTGGAGATAGCCTCTTGGAGGTCAACTGAGTGGTAGTGCCAAGAGAGCCCTCTCCTCTTGCTCTTAAATAACCTATTGTAATTATAATAATGATATACCCGCCCCTTGTATCTTACCATAGAGCACAACTTAATCGCTATTTACAAAAGATGAAAGTTTAAGTAGTTTTTCATATATCTATTTTAATATATATGATTTATTAGAGGAAAATTTATCGTGTACTTTGTTTGTGTAGCCTAGATTGAGTGATCTAAGAAATTATTTTTATTACTTTATTTCTATACCAATTTCTGAGGACATCAGAATCAAGTAGTTTAGGTGTCCTAATCTCTATATTGTATGTACGTGATGTTGAGGAGAAAAAAGAAAAGCGTTATTTTTCATTCATTTTATAAAGAGCTGAAAAAACCACATCGCCTTTGTGTTTGCTGTCATGATGTGTACGATTCACTATTGTAAAGCACCAGGTTCCGCTGTTGTCAGCAGGGACGTGTTTTCTCTGGTACACCGGCCAGAAAACCGTCCATGTTGATGATGGCGAAAGTGGATGTTTTGCGCCGGGGATCTCTTCTTCAGCTCGAGGCGTTAAACGACGCTGAGCCATAAAGTACGCAAACCCCTATATATATATAATGGTCGAACATCCCTCGCTGGCAAGAGGCACCATGGACCTTTATGAGTTGAAAACTGTAGTGAGAACCAAGTATAAAAGTAGTAGTGATGCATTGCCTTGTGGCTTAGCACCTTTTTCGCCCCGACCTGCATGCTTGTCACCCCATAGTTGTGGGAAGCAGAGTCCAGGTCCCGCATTCACAGTGTTGTAGTGGCGGCGGGCGGAGAGGACACGGCCACCCCTGACATAGTGCGGGTTACTGCACTCACCAGCTGGGCGAGGCTCAAGCTCACTCACCAGCTGTGCAGGTGGCATATAGGCTCGGGAGAGTGAATTGTCCACAATAATTTTTTTTTATTTAACTAAGCCAGTGTTGGAGGCCTCACGTCCGTTTGTCCTCCCCGCCCCGCCCATAACCCCGGCCTCCGAGGTCCACCTTGAGGCCCATCTCTCCACGCTACCTCATCCTCACCAGGCCGAAATCTCGTCATTATCACCCACCAATCAGAATCGCCAACTCTTTTTAAATGACAGTTTGTGCCAGCCAATCAAAGCTCTTGAGGATTGTGTGTGGGAGTTTGAGGTCGGCCTCTAGGCTACCTTGGTCAAGTTCGGGCGGTTCTCCTTGATTCAGAACTCGATGGAAATGTTTCGTCAGCAGCTGCTTCGTTCCATGGGTCTTCCAGTACAGCGTTGAACAACTGTCGTCAGTGTCATAAGTTAGTTCACAATACCTATGCACTCTAATCCGTAATGAGTTTATTTTTTGTACTTTTCTACAACGCCGTATATATATTATGGTAATTTTTCATAAAATCGTAGTGTATACTTAGGATGATAAAACAAAATGATAAAAAAATACCAAAAACATTCTATGCTTCTTCATCAAGGCTTCCCCGCATTAATCGGTGTTTACAGGGAAGTTAATAGGGTGTAAGCCGCACACCTATCATAGGGGCGAATCCCACGTCACCTGAAGACGAAAATCGCCTATGTGACAGGTAGTGGGTTACCTTCGGGCACAACTTATCGCAATAATTGATCAATGATTGCTAGACTATTTTGAAGAGATTTTTGTCACTTATGCAAAAAAAAAATTCCATAAAAAATACCCTGCAAGTCAGTTTTTTGCCAGCCAGTCCGCTTACAAACTACCAGGTTGGGTTGTTTGTAGTATTGAGTTGGTGTCCTGTTTGCTTGAAACTTAAAGTGGTCAAGTCCGGCGAGGAGGAAACTTGTCAGTACTCTCTCTCTCTGGAAGTTGTGGAGCGGGTGTTGGACGTCACGGTGTGTCAACCTTCACGCTGTGTCAACGTAGTTAACCTCCTCCCGGGCCTCCCCCACCGCAGCTGATGATGCATCCCAAGTGGTTTAACAATGAATCAGGTTTATTAATTGTTAGCCAGGAGTCAGTTGCATAATGTGAGTGTGGTTGAACATGGGAAGACATGATAAGTGGGCAAGACTGCGGGAGGCAATAAATTTTTTAGTAGCGAGTGTCTCGGACTCGGCTCGTCGGCTGTGGCTATGCAACACAGTCATCCCCCCCATGCATACTTCCCTGCTCCTCGCCCACCCAACACAACCCTTTATCAAGCTCAGTCAGTTTTCAGGGATCAAGCAGATGCTTACTGATAACGAGCAAGCTTTATTAGCCCAGGTTAGCATTGCCTGAAAATTAAGAGGTTCTGCATCACAGATGTTGCTTCATTGTGATGCGACACGAAGAAGTGTGTATGTGTGCAAGGAGGGAGAGTTCAGGGTTTGGTATGACTGTGTTTTTCATCCCCTTGGCCCAGGTGGTGACTGGACAGGGGTATGTATGCACTGTCAAGTGAGAACACTGCCAGGCAGCCACAGTAACGCTCAGTGTCGAGAGAACGGCTA